GTCCAAGGTGTGTGGGATGAAAATTACTATTATTTTGCAATGCTGGGGACTGAACCCAGGGCCTTTGCACTGACTACATTTCCAGTCCTTTAATTTTTTTTTTTAATTTTGAGTTCCCCAGGTCAGATTCCAATTTGCAATCCTCCTACCTCAGCCTTCCAGAGTGCAGGGATCACAGGTGTGCAGCACCATGCCTACTGCAACTCATTTTCAAAACTGGTAAATAGAATCAAGCAAAAGGATCCCTGAGAATTTAAGGCCAGCCTAGTATACAAAACGAGACCCCCTCTAAAACCACCCCACTTGGGGGGGGGGACAAACAAACAAACATGCGGATTATGGAAATGTACAAATCGCACTGAGATCCTGTATCAGCCAAACTGCAAGATGACAATTCAAGAATTGCTATTAATTTTTTAAAATGCAGTAACTTGACTGAGGCAATGTTTTTCAAAGTCTTCATCTTCATAAAGGTAGACAGGCTGGTGGGCTGGTCCCTGATTGTGTCAACTTGAAAAGTTTAGAAGTTTAATTGAGAGACTCAGCAGGGAGCAGGATTCTCACTTTGTAAACATCCTCATCCTGTGCAAAGGAGGGCAAGGATTTTGTGAGTACTACACACGCCCTAAAGTCGGGGAGGTGGCCTGTGTACAGTATCTGGCAGAAGAGGCTTGTTTTGCTCCCTTTTGCTCTGGCTGCTGCCTTGAAGTGTTGCCCCAGTGCCAGGCCACCCTGCCTTGGTGCCAGCTGATTACCAACTGAACCCTCCAAAAACAGTGAGCTAAATACACCTTTCCTTCCTTCATTTTGGGTGTGGGATCTTTTGTCTCAGCAACAAGAAAAAAATAACCAAGACACTGATAGCACTGGGTCTGTGTGCCAGGGGTGGATGGTTTCCTGCTGTTGCTGTATCCAATCCCTACCACAATGTGGCACCATTTCACAACACACATTTATGATTCTGTATTTATTTGTTTGTTTGGTTGGCTGGTTTTTGAGACAGGGCCCTGCTATGTAGTTCAGGCTCTGCAGCCCAGGCTAGCTTTGAACTTGCAGTGATCCCCCGGCCTCAGCCACTTGAGGGCTGGCATTACAAGTGCACATCACCCTTACCTGGGTAACTTTTTAAAAATGCTTTTTATTCCAAAAATGTTTTTTATTAGTCCATGATTGCAGTACATGACGTTTACATGAAGTTTACATTCCCTGTGGGGGGTACAACACATTTTAATTACTTTTTTCTCTTCCTTCCTCCATCTTTAGATCCCCTTCCCCTTTGAGAAAATCTACCTCTGTATGTCCTATTATAAGTTTTGATCTGGGTTTCTCGCATAAAAGAAACTCTAAAACTTTTATGTCTCTGTGTCTCATTTATTTCACTTAGCATGATGCATCCATTAGAAGGTGCATCCATTTCCCTACAGATGACTAACGTCTCTCCTGCTGGCAGGGTAGTACTCCATGGTGTGTAGCATCACATCCTTTATCCACTCACCTCCATCCTGTAGGCTCACTGGATGTTCAGGGGGCAGGGGGATACTTCCTGCCTCTTCAGCGTCAGGCCTATACCCTGAAAATGTTGGCTCATATCCTTCCCATACTAACTAACCTTATTACAACTAATATAATCTGTGTCACTCTTATTCTCAGCTCACACTGACTACTTATATGAATTGGCCTAGAAATAAGTACATTTAGCCGTAATTCCAATTATAATAACTCCAACCCCCGATCCATAGAAGCCGCAACTAAGTACTTCCTAACTCAAGCATCAGCATCTATAATCCTGCTATTTTCAACCATCCTAACTATAACACCCTCAAGCCAGTGGACCATTTTCCATTCTCAAAACCAAGTAATTTCCTTTATATTAACCCTATCCCTAATAATAAAACTAGGTCTGGTGCCCTTCCACTTCTGAGTACCACAAGTATCCCAAGGCATCACACTACTCTCTGGACTTACCCTGTTAACATGATAAAAAATCACCCCATTATCTATCCTTTTTCAATCTTCCTCCCTCACTAGCCAACCTTTAATCTTCACATCAGCCATTACATCTATCTTACTAGGGGGATGAGGAGGACTGAACCAAACACAACTATGAAAAATCCCAGCATATTCATCAATTCCCCACATAGGCTGAATAACAGCCATTCTAATCTATAATCCCTCAATTACACTACTAAACTTCATCATCTACTCCCTACTAACAACCTCCATATTTTCTATATTCCTCATATACAAGAACACAACTACATCAACCCTAAGCCACACCGGAAACATCTCACCACCTGTAACTACCACTGTAATAATTACCTTATTATCCCGAGGAGGTTTACCCCCTCTAACCAGGTCCACCCCAAATGACTAGTCATTCACGAAATAGTGAAAAATAGTAACACTATTATACCTACCCTAATAGCCATTATAGCGCTACTCAACCTTTACTTCTACATACGACTAATCTACTCAACATCCCTAACCTTATTCCCCTCCAAGAGCAATATAAAAACCAAATGACACTTCCAAAACACAAATAAAGCCTCTATACTCATTATAACCAGCTTTTTTATTTTTCTTCTATCCCTCTCATCAATAACCATTATTTTATACCAGGAGATTAGGTTAAACAGACCAAGAGCCTTCAAAGTAAATATTAGATATTATTTATCTTTTGTATCCTTTGCAAGTTTTCATCTCACATCAACTGAATGTAAATCAGACACTTTAATTAAGCTAAGCTCTCACTAGACTGGTGGGCTGTAACCCCACAAAATTTTAATTAACAACTAAACACCCTAATCAACTGGCTTCAAACTATTACCACCCCAATGGAAAAAAGAGGGCAGGAGAAGCCCCAGCAGGATTGAAGCTGCTTCCTTGCATTTGCAATTCAGTATGACTAATCACCTCAGGACTATGGTAAAAAGAGGGCTAAACTTCTGTCCTTAGAATTGCAGTCTAAAACCTACTCGGCTATTTTACCTACCTATGTTAATTAATCACTGACTGACTGTTCTTAGGAATCATAAAGATATTGGTACACTATACCTTCTATTTGGCACGCGGGCCAGAATAGTAGAAACTGTACTTAATCTACTGAGCCAAGCAGAACTAGGCCAACCAGGGAAGGAGATGATCAAATCTACAATGTAATCCTAACTGCCCATGCCTTCGTTGGTACCACTAATAACTGGCACTTCAGATATAGCTTTCCCACGAATAAATGAATTTTTGACTCCTTTCTCCATCATTTCTTCTGTTTTCATTGTCAATGGTTGAAGCAGGAGCAGGAACCTGACGAATGGTGTATCCTCCTCTAGCAGGTAACCTAGCACAGGCAGGAGCGTCTGTAGATTTAACCATCTGCTTGTTTCTCCTGGCAGGAGTATCCTCAATTCTCTGAGCAATTAATTTTATTACAACAATTATCCATATGAAACCCCCTGCAATAACACAATACCAGAATCTGATCTGTTTTAATTTCAGCCGATTTTTTATTCTTATCTTTATCTGTCCTTGCTGCAGGTATTACAATACTACTTACAGACTGAACTTAATACAACCTTTTTTGATCTGCTGGGGGAGGGAATCCAATTCTATATCAACACCTATTTTGGTTCTTTGGGCACCCAGAAGTTTATATCCTTATTCTATTAGAATTTGGTATAATTTCACATATTGTTACATATTATTCCAGTAAGAAAGAACTTTTTGGTTACATGGGTATAGTGTGGGCTATAATATCTATCGGGTTCCTAGACTTTATGATGAGTCCACCATATGTTCACCATTGGCATAGATGTGGCTAGACCAACATATTTCATGTCTGCCACAATAATCACTGCCAGAGTAAAAGTATTCAGTTGATTAGCAACATTACAAGGAGGAAACGTTAAATGATCCCCAGCAATGTTCTGGGACTTAGGGTTTATTTTCCTATTCACTATAGGCGGGGCTGATGGGTACTGTATTAGCTAACTCTTCGCTAGACATCGCCCTACAGGACACCTACCTAGTACGTAGTTGCACATTTTCACTATGTTTTGTCCGTAAGTGCCGTATTCGCTATTATAGGAGGGTTCGCCCATTGATTCCCACTATTCTCAGGCTACTCTAAACTCTACACGGGCAAAAATTCACTTCTTCGTAATATTCACAGGAGTTAACCTAACTTTTCCCCCTACATTTCCTAGGACTCTCTGGTATACCCCGTTGATACTCCGACTACCCAGACGCATATACGCTGTGAAATACTGTCTCATCAATAGGTTCCCTTGTCTCTTTAACAGCTTTTATGGTGATAATTTTCACAGTCTGCGAAGCATTTGCTTGCAAACAAGAAGTCATGGATATTAGACTAACTTCAGTTAACTGAGAATGACTCCATAGCTGCCCTCTGCCATATCACACATTTGAAGAACCCACATTCATCAAGTCCTAGGGACAAGAAACGAAGGAGCCGAACCTCCTAAAACTGGTTTCAAGAAAGCTGCATAAACCCTATGACTCTCTCAACTAGGAAGATATTAGTAAAAACACTACATAACTTTGTCAGCGTTACTGGTTAAAGCCCTATATATCTTTATGGCATGTCCTTATGAACTAGGTTTCCAAGATACTGCCTCACCTACTATAAAAAAACTCTTAAATTTTCATGACCACACTCTAATACTTGTAGTCCTAATCAATAGTTTAGTACTGTATCTTATTTCTTATACTTAACCACGTTCTTATTCTTATCCTCGTTCCATGGCCTGCACACTGGGGCATGGCCTGCTGAGCAGGTCTGCCCCTGCCTTCTGACAGGAGCCTGGTCCCAAACTTTACCCCGCTATCGCCAGCTTTCCACCCACCCGCTCCACATTCTCCTCCCAAAATAGACCCAGAACTGGAGCTGTACGAGTGTCCAGCTGGTCCCTGCCACGGCCGAAATTGTTCCTGCGCCCGCCCACCGCCCCCGCCCCCTCCTCCGCCCCCGCCTCCTCCGCACTCACCCGGGGAAGGAAGGAGCCACGAGGATGAGAAGCCTGTAGAGGGCGCAGGAGTCCTGAGGACAGCAGTCCCGCGGCCCTAACCCAGCGTGTATGGCTGCTCACGGTAGCAGCCCTGCTCCGCGTCTTCAGCTCACTGCTGGCTGGAATAACTGGAATCTCGGAGGTCAGAGCACGCCCGCCGCCTGGGGGCGTGGCTACGCTGGTGACCCGGATGACCTGGGGAGGTTGCCTAGAGACAGTCTGAGCAGCCAGAGGAGCCTGCCTTGAGAGTGGCGGATGAGGGGCGTGGCCAGGGCCCGGGAGTGCGGGGCCTGTGCGGGCGGGTGGCGCCGCCATTCATCTCCTCTGACCGGCCACCTCCAGCCAGTCTGAGTAGCAACTCCTGGGCTTCTCGCCCTCCGGGATTGAAGGTCAGGCTACTCTTTAAGAATTAGAAGACTAGGGGCTGAGGATTTAGCTCAGAGGCATGAGCACCTGCCTTGCAAGCAGGCGGTTGTGGGTTCGATCCCTGGTACCGATAAAAAAAAAAAAAGAAAAAGAATTGGAAGACTACCATGTTGATAATAGATATTTGTGACATCTCTACAGACATCCTGAGCGCCGGGCACTAGGTAAGCTTGTCACCACACACACACAAGACTAGGACAGAGGCCCCAAGGAGTGGAAATGACCCAGGTGCAGAGCCCCACACTCCAGCAGAAGCCTCAACGCTCACTCTGCCACTGAAGTTGACAGTCCTTGGTTCACTTCCAAGAATTTAGAATGCATCCCCCAAGTCCCTTGCTCACCCCATGCTGTGTCACTAGAAGTCACTTAGTCCCTCTGACCCACAGTCTCTTCCACTGTGCAGTGGAAATAGGTGCTTGCCATGCATGATTTTAGGGGAAAGGGTTCCTGGCAGTGCCTGGGCCCCTAGGATCAGTGTTGGAAGCTAGCACCCTGAGGAAATGAATGACTATCTGGGCTGGGCACAGGCAATCATGCGCCCATGATCTTGGCCTCTAACTGGCCCCAAGCTGGTACCCAGAAGCTCTGCTCTTGACCTAGAGATTGGGGTCCGGGGGTGGATTAAGCTTGGCTCTGGCAAACTGAGAGCTCCATACTCCATACCAGTTTCCCTCTACCCCCACTCTTTCCTTAGAATTCCCAGTGGCCCACAGACCGTGCTATAGCCCCTTTCATTTGCTATGGTTCCCCTTTCACAGTCATTCATGGACTGGGTCTCTCTCTGTTCCTGCCTGGCTGGAAACTGCAGTGGGGCACCAGAAGGGATAGGCTTATTGCTGCTGTGTGTTGACACAAGTTGGCTGTCCCTCTACAAACAGCACAGCTCCTACCAGGCTCCCTGGCTCTGTTGGCTGCCCCTGCTCATGCCCCAGGCTCAGACAGTACAACCCCACTTCTCCCTGGTTTATTGCTAGTCCCCAGAGCCCCCCAGGCCCTCTGAAGTTGACTGACATCTGCCTGGTGCAGAGGTCTGCAGAGCATGTAGGGCTGGCATTTGATGCTTGCCATGTGCCCAGTGGCACCCTAGGCCTTCCATGTGCTCTTCAGGAGGTTTCTTCCAAGCCTGTATACACCTGTACTACCTGATAGCCCTTTTAGATGTGCAGTGCCTGAGGCACAGGGACAAAAGTGTCATGCCACAGTCTACAAGAAGTTCGTGGTAGTGTTGGGGCTGGAGTCTGAGGGGATGGAGTCACAGCTGATATTGTTTCCCAGACCACTCCCTGTGAGGCTCCTTTGATATGACCCAGAGCAGAGAGGGCCTCTGTGACACTACAAAATGGCTTCCGGGGCCAGTAGAGAGGGGCAAAATGGCTTTCCCACTTCACAGTGGGCCATGGTACACACTGCCGTACCTGCACAGTCTGGCCTCCCCTGGATCTCCTGACCAGTTTTGTGTCCTGTAAGCTTCTGTGACACAGCTGAGCTTACACTCTCACTTTGGGGTTCACCCTTGGTAGTTGCTTGATTCTATGGATTTTGATGTTCAGACAAAATTCCTCACCTTGGAGGAGTTTCTGGGAGAACCGTGGCCATATCTTCTCCTACACCAATCTCCCTGGAACCTGTTGTGTTGGGTTAATAAATTTTCAGTTTATTTTAACTTGCTTATTTTCCTGTGCATTGGTAGTATTTTCCAGCATGGACCAGCAAGCACTAAGCCAAGAGAACAAATGGGACAAAAGACCCCTTTTCTAAATACAGGACAGGGGAGCCTGAACAGTGACATAGGCATTCTCTGCCTTCAACTGATGGCCACCTGGCCTGACACTCGCATGCTGGCTCCCTTCTACCCACCCTGAGCTTTTGCCTCAGCCGCATCTGCCTTTACATTTCATTGTCCTCTTTCCTGGCTGCTTGTACTTGTGTCCCTGAGCCTCCAGGCCATGACATTCATACTTATTATCGTGTGGCTATGGGTTAATTTGTGGCAATCTCTCTATTAAAAAATCTCTACCGTGCTAGACCTGTGTCATTGCTGTCACCTCCCCATCAACTTGCATAACACCTGTGTCTTAGTCCATTCTGTGTTACTATAACAGAATGCCATGGACTGGGTAAATGACCAGCAATAGAAATGCATGTGGCTCATGTTTCTGGGAAGTCAGGGTGGGGGGCTGCACCTGCTACAGGCTTTCTTGATGATAGCTAATAGCATCATATGGTGAGGGAGAAGTGAGAGGGAGAAAGAGGAAGAGTAAAAGGGGAACAGATGAATTCTCTCCTTTTACATATAACTAACCCATTCCCAAAATAATTCATGATGCAGATTGTGCCTTTATGCCCTGATCATCCCTTAAGGTCTCTCATATGGTATTAGCCATCATGATTGCTGTTTAATTTCAGTCTGAGTTTACAAGGACACATTCAAATCATAACAGCCTGACACTTTATAGATGCTCAATAAATGCAACCACATGATTGAATGAATGGATGAGCAAGTCTTATGTGGCTGGCAAAAAGTTCAGTATGTGGTATGATCATTGTTCTCTGCCCTAATGCATGCAACTATTTTATGGCAGAGATCTAGCTAGCTCTCTGAGGTTGTCTTTTGCCTCAAGCAGCTGCTGTGCCTCTGATGTCCAGCATGCCCACACTTGGCTGACACTGTTTATGGGGCTCCTAGGAAGTACCTGGACAGCTTCCATTCTAACACCATGAGCGAAGACGGCAGAAGACCTGCATTTATTGGAAGCCTGCCATGGTTTGGGCACAACTACAGCCACTTAGACTGAAGGGGATCAATATGCTATCTCCTTGGATTGGGAAGTAGACATTTGAAAATCTAAGAGACTCAGGAAAGGTCAAGTGGGGAGGAACTGCTACAGCCAGAGGAAACTTGCTGCTGGACAGCCTGGGAGGTCATGTTCTTTTTGAGTGTGATGCTGCCTGCTCCTGGGAGCAGGTGAATCTAAGAGAAGTCTTTGGTACAGACAGGGCAGGCACCTAACACCTCCTGTTTTCTATTTGTTTGGGGCAGGTCACTCGTACTTCTTCCCCTCTATCGTCTCTGGAAGCCAACTCAGGTGAAATCTATTTTGTCAAAAGAAGATGGATTCAACTTGCATTCAACATGATGGTAAGCATTAGTGGCGGTTGGAAAACAGTTAAAGAGCTGTCCATCTGGAGCCTTGGTGGGCTTTCCACCCTGATAGTATATGCATTGTGTACAAGTGGCACGTGGAAAATGAGTGAGCCAAGAAGGTCCGTGAGAACCTCCTGTGGGGAGAGAGAGTTCAAAGACCGTGAAGCACAAGGCAACTTGAGGTTAAGGCAGGGTCATACACTCAGGAGTTCCAACCATGAGAGGGCATAGTGTGGGTGGAATTGGAAGATGTGTTCTGACTCTGATGGTAAGCTGGGCAGTGAGAAGATGGGGCTTCATCATCATAGCCAAAGTCGTGGGGTAGTCCATGGTCATCCCAAGTAGATCATAGAGGAGTCTTGTACTTGATCCTCCAAGGGCAAGGACAAAATTCAGCGTGTAAGACCTGTACCAAGCCACTTTGCATTTGGCTTCTGAGCTCTGCTTGGTAGACCCCTAATGAGGGAGGTGACCTATGTAACTGAGATCACCCAAAAGTTTGAGAACAGAGCACACAAAGCCGTGTGCTCAGCTGTGAGAACATATAGCCATGGATTGGAGGGTGCTATTGCCAAGCACTGAGACCTGTTACCGTGAGACCCTGGAAAATATCTGGATTTCAAGAATGTCATTGTTGCATTTCATTGTTAATTGGAAAGAGACTGGAATTTCCAGCAGGTAAGGAAATGATGTGACCAGTGAAATCTTCTAGAGGAAGCACAAGAGATGGTGGATATGCTTTGCTTTCCTACATGATAATGCTGTACATCTAGATAGAGCAAGGATCTTGGGATGGTGGGGCACCCACATGCCTTCCACTTGTTAACCAGTAATTTTAAGAGAACAAGTAAGACCCCAAGAAATAATGCTCATGAGTCCACAGAGAAAGAGCAGGCTGACCATACCAAGGATGATATTTATACTTGACTCGAGGTAACAATCCTAACAGACTTCAAATATAAGCTATTTCTTGTCAGAAAGACTTGTTAAATTTTATATTATTTGTGTGTGTGTGTGTGTGTGTGTGTGTGTGTGTGTGTGTGTGTGTAAATGCTAAAAATTGATGATTTCCTTTGGCTGGCAAAAGAATCTTAGATTTTCTTTGAAAAAAATTTAATTTCAGAAATAATTATGAAATGTCTTGCCCAAATCCAAATATCCATCAAGCAAATAAAAAAACAGTCAAATCTATGAGAAGCCATGGGAATATAAATTAAATTAAATGAAACTTTATTCCTATCAGCTTAGCCAAATATAGCTGATGGGATGCAGAGAAAAAAAGGATTGTCATACAAATCTGTTATAAATGTGAATAATTATGTGCATATTCACATTGGGATACAATCTGCCAACATCTATCACAATGAAAATGTACATATCCTTGAGGCCATAGAAACAGAAAAAAGATTCCCAGTGTACATGTGAAGCTGTCCATGTAAGATGTTTAATGCACTGTTGCCTATCGACAAAAATACTGGGGAAAAATGACTAGGACGAACTGATGAAAGGCTGCATGTTCTATGACATATGTATGCATAGACACCAAGTTGCTGCCATTAAAATGAATTTGCAGTAGGTCCATGTTATAGATTAAGAACTGGTGGTCAATTTAATGCCCGCTGGATTACATCAGCATGGCGCTGAGCATAGATGTTCCACTTGAGGAAAGCTGTCAGCATAAATTTAGACATGGAGAAGGAGAAATTATTGCACTGAGGCATTGTGGGTTCTACAAGTTGCTGTT